GGTGTTTGTTGGCAGATATCCCAATTCCCCTCACCATAAAACATTTTCCAATACAGCTGGTGAATCAATCAGATTTTGCCTGAAATTTTCATCGTTTCGTATTAAATCTACTAAAAGCAAATCGCAATAATTTTCAGATGTACGTAATCGGGGCTTATTTATTATCAGCAAACGTAGTAAAGATAACAATGATTCGTAAATGTAGCCCTCCTGCACCTCTGCAACTGCTCCTTGAAGTGAACCAAAGCAAAAAATTAACGATTCCACTGTTGCAGCATTCAGTTGTCAAATGCCCATGGTTTTTTGCTGCAAAGTTAGTCGCTTTGTTTTCAAGCAGCAGCTTTCTAACTTTGTTTATTAAATGCTGTTATCTATACTAGCATAACCAGCAAACTATATTAGGATTCAAATTTATTTACATGGTTTACGCATTCTAAACCAATGTTTAAGACGTTAACTACAGATCAATCCAAAAACGTGAAATCAAAATCTCTCTCTCCCCTTTAACATTTGTATTAGACGATATAAGTAAGACACGATAAGAATTATTCAGTAATGAGCAGAAAGATATTTTTCCTGTCATTTCTACGAAAAGTATTCATTAATGAGCAAAAATGCTTTTTTCTGGTCCTTTTCCGAAAATTACTAGACATCTTCGAAAATTTTTCCAAGGGTTCCTTTTTCGAGCAAATCCATGCTATTTCCTCGTTCATTGCTCTTTGCTAACGGATTGTTCATGCAGTCTCTTTAATTACTTTTGTGAGTTACTCACAATACATTGTAATATGTATTTTTGAAACTGTTCAGATGCGACTTTGTTGGTTACTTTGCGCTAACATCAGGAAATAAGGAGATGGAGGAGCTGATTTCTCGAAATAATAAAGGATTACCGCAGGCGTTTTTATTACGAACCGACAAGCCCTTGCCACAAGTACCAGTACCAGTCAAACTACATGATGCTCGTGTGCTCCCGGATGGGCCGAGAAAACATAAACTGGCCGTATGCTTACAGCCAGTTTACCTCTTGGCTGATTGGACGTTGCTTGTGCAATTTTTTGAAGTAAGCGAATCACCCCTCTCATTGATTTTTGTTGGAAAGGATAATAAGGCTAAAGGGGGTTTCTTGAAAAAATGACACCAGCAGTGCGATTTTTGTAAAGCTTACTGTACTCTGAAAAAAAATTTTTGGCGACTCATCCAGCAAAACAGGTAAATGGACAGAACTTTCTCTTCAAATTTAAAATTTACATGTGCCGGATAGTCTCTAACAACAAAATGCTGACTTCGAGCAGCTTCCAGCGGGCAGCTAGGTCAACGAACCACGCATATCAACGTATCACTAACACAAAAGTTGTAATCTATGGCAATTGTAAGGCAGAACCGTAATTTTAAATCACCAAAAGTTGACGGTCCGGAAACAAATATGATAAGGAGCGGCAAGATCCAATGAATTCTTAATGCAATGAGGCTTTGAAGTAAGAGGAACAGGCTGTGGTGGAGTTCATATGGCACGAAATTATCTGACATGTTATAAGGTCATGTGGAAATGAATATGTAGGAAAAAATCTGCCTGTGCTTCATCTCTTAGCTGTAAACACAGACAGCCAAAAGGCGTGGTTAGAAGCGGGAGTCATCAGTACAGCTTCATAATCGTAATATAAAAATGTCAGGTGATAAGGGGTTTGAAGGAAAGACAATGGAAATGGAAAGCAGTAGAGGAGAGCCAAATAGTGAGGTATGAAATTATGGAATTAATCTTCAAAAGGAATAAGCGGCATAAAACACACGAAAGACAAAAATTTTCATTCTTCCTTCTTTTAGAGACTGAGAGCCGTCATACTGCAGTTATCTGGAGGTATATTAGAAAAGTTAAGCAAACATAGTAGCTCATAACGTCGTAGAGGAGATTTCTAACAGTCAGAAAGTAACAAACAGAAATATTTTTGATGCCATAACCGCTGCAGTACAAAAATTAACTAAGTATAGCTCTATTCCTTGCTGAGTTGAAAGTGGGGGACATAGTTCACTCGCTTCTGATCGCGCTTACATATATACAGACAACCTCTCGACAATACGCGTTTTTGTTGACTGTAGCACCGCTATAGCGCTGCATAGCAAAAAAGCACAAAAATCATGTCTTTACTCAAATTGGAACGTATAATATTGCGTTCCAATTTGAGTAAAGACATGATTTTTCGACAGTAGCCAGTTACAGATTTGGATAGCTCAAGGTGCAACAAAATTTTACG